GGCATATTGAGGGAGGCAGGGAGACTGAGAGAGGCAGAGACAGAAGGTAGCTTGTATCGGACTAACACTGGATAAAATGCAGAGAACAACTGTTTGAAGACAATGGAAAGTGATGAAGAGCAACCAGAAGCTGGGGCATATCTGGCCTTTGAAAGAAGGAAACTGCATGGGTGACATCCATATATTTATAGCTTTTCCTCTGAAGGGCATACCCCAGCCCCGCTCAGTCCCGCAAACAGCTCAAGCAGAAAGCTTTCGTCTTATTGGCCTGAGGAGTCAGAGGTCAAAACTGATAGAACTGCAAGGAGACACAGGCCCGTCTGCTGTTGTAGTCAGAGGCCTTAACACTCTGTCAGGAATGGACAGGTCCAGCCGGCAGAATATCAGTAAGGACCTCGCTGAATGCCACAATGCCTTCACTCAACCGGAGATAATTGACATCTATAGATCCCTTCATCCCACAACAGCAGGACACACATTGTTCTCCAGCTCACATGGAGCATTCGCCAAGACAGACCACATAAAAATAGACCCAACACGTTGAAAGGAACAGAAACCATACCGTGTTTGTGGTCAGACCACAGTGGCATTAAACTAGGACCAATAATGAAAAAATAACTGGAAAAATCCAAAACAGACTTAGGGGTTAAACAATACAAGTCTACATGACACATGGGTCAAAGAAGAAATCTTAAGAGACATTTAAAAATATTTTGAATTAAATGAAAATAAAAAGACAGCTTATCAAAAAATTGGGAAGGCCGTGAAAACAGTCCTGAGAGGGAAATTTATAGCATTGAACACATGTTAGAACAGCGGTTCTCAACCTGTGGGTCGCGACCCCCTTTGAGGGTCGAATGACCCTTTCACAGGGGTCGCCTAAATACATCCTGCATATCAGATATTTCCATGACGATTCATAACAGTAGCAACATTACAGTGATGAAGTAGCAACGAAAATAATTTTATGGTCGGGGGTCACCACAACATGAGGAACTGTATTAAAGGGTCGTGACATTAGGAAGGTTGAGAACCACTCTGTTAGAAGGAAGAATGACCTAAAACCAATAACCTAAGCTCCCACCTTAGCAAAGTGAAAAAAGAAGAGCAAATTAAATCCAAAGTAAGCAAAAGAAAAGGAATCGGAAAAATTAGAGGAGAAATCAATGAAACGGATGCATGTTGGTCAGTATACTTCTGTCAACAGCCATCGAGTGTACAACACTAAGAGGGAACCCTAATGTAAACTATGAACCTGGGGTGGTAAGTGACATGTCAATGTGGGTTCATCACTTGTACTAAAGGTACCCGTAGGATACCTTTAGTATCCTGTGCCCGTAGGATCCTGAAGCGGGAGCTGCAGGGGGGCGGCCTCACTCACCCACTGTCCCATGGAGCCTTGGGGGCCTGGCTCTCCACTTTGGTGCGAGATGTCAGCAGTGGGGGAGGGTGTGCATGTGTGACAGGGAGTGTATGGGACCTTTTTGTACTTTTTGCTTAATTTTGCTGCGAATCCAAAAGAATGTTCTCAAAAAGAATTTAATTAAACAAGACAACCAGCAAGAACAAAAAGCCCAGCATCTTACAGATTCAGGAATCTCCATGAACCCAAAGCAGGATAAACACAGAGAAAACCACACCCAACCCCATCACGAGCAATCAGTTGAAAACGAAGGGTAAAGCGAAAATCTTAAAAGCCAAAGAATACAGAGGAATGATGATAAGAATGACAGCCAGTTTCTCATGAGAAATTATAATGGTCTCTGTAAGTCAGAAGACCACTGGACATCTTTAAAGCGCTAAGAGGCAAGAAAACTGCCCACCTATCATTTTATAGCCAGTGAAAATATCTTTCAAAAGTTAAGGGAACGACAGCGTTGGACAAACAAAGGCAGGGAGGATCTGTTGTCTGAAGACCCACACAATAAGAGGCGTGAGCCTCTCCCGATTGGGACTGACTGGGTGCGAGCCCACGGCAGATGCAGCAGGGCCAGGATGAGCAGGAGAGGCAGGCGGCGTCGGACTGCCCAATCCCTGCAGGCCACGCCAAGGGACTCCACAGTGCACGAATCCGTGCACCGGGCCTCTAGTAAAATACTGAATGTGTATACACCCAACAACAAAGCTTAGGATCCACGAAGCAAAAATTGACCAAACTAAAGGGAGAAACAGACAAATCTACCATTATAGTTGGAGGGATAGAGAAATACAGGGAGTTGAAGAGATAGAGACACAGAGGGACAGAGAAACAGGGACAGAGCCTGGGAGATGGAGGTGGCTGGACCGTAAGATGAACCTGAGACAGGAAGGAAGGAGATGGAGCACCCCCTGGACCAGACAGGGAGGATCAGGGGCTCTGGCCACAGGGGCTGGAGCCAGAGCAGGGGTCTGTGCCCACAGGATCCTGAAGGGGGAGCTGCAGGGGGGCAGCCTCACTCACCCGCTGTCCCATGGAACCTTGGGGGCCTGGCTCTCCACGCAGTCCCTGTGTGGGAGGGAGGAGAGGTACGGAGTCAGCTGCTGGGTGTCTGAACCAGAGCCCCCAAGCCTCCCCAGAATGCTCCATCCGGGGCCCATTCAGTACTCACTCTCTCACCCTTTTCTCCTGGGTGGCCAGAGATTCCTTGGGGTCCAGTGGGGCCTGGGGGTCCCTGAGCAACAAGACAGGGCTTCAGCCTTGAGCTGGGGCAGGGTAGAGCGGGCGGGGACTCGGGGGGCAGAGGGGTGGGGGTGAAAGCTCCAGCTTGGCCTGGGCCTCTGGGCCCTTCACACATCCAATGACAGGGACACAGAGGGACGTGCACACAGCCCAGTGTTCACAACTCTGGCCCTGGAACCAGACAGTCCCCACCCTGACCTGGAAGTCGCCATGTGCTGGCCACAGCCCTAGGGAAGTTATCGCCACCTCTCTTGGCCTTAGGAAAGAGCCATGGTGCTTCTTGTTGCAGGGGTTGAACAAGAAGCTATAGGAAAAGTAGTGTGTCCACTCGGTGCTCCATAAATGCTTGAATGAAGGAAGGAAGGATGGATGGGTGGATGATGGATGGGTGAGTGGACAGATGGGAAGACGAGTGAGTGTACTTGGAGAAATACTCACTGTATGGCCAGGACTCCCAGGGATGCCCATGGGACCAGGAGGTCCAGGGGGACCTGGAATAAGACAGGATATCCTAGAGACCAGCCTTTGGGTGGTGAATGCACAATACAATACACAGATGATGTATTACAGGATGACACCTGAACCCTATGTAATTTTATTTACCAATGTCACCCCAATAAATGCAATTAAAAAGCAAAAAATAAAAAGACAGGATATCCTCAGGACCAATGCAGAGTACAATGGCAGGAAGTCTACCATCAACTCCCTCCTGACAGCAACAGCGCTGGTGGCTCTGACATCCCTCAACCCCACCCGGAACCCCAGGCCTGGACTCAACTTACCCGCAGGCCCTGGGGGCCCAGGGGGCCCAGCCGGTCCCTGGGGCCAGTGGCTGCTGGTCTCAGTGAAGGTGTTGGACAGAAATGGGTCCCCTGCAGGAGGAAAGATGAGTGGGCAGGGCTGGGTGGGGTGGGGTTTGGGCAGAGAGGGGCAGGCCTGGAGGTCCCCTTTCTCCAGGGATGCCCACAGCTCCAAGCTGGCTATGACTGCCCTGTGGGACATGGGGGAGAAGCGGGGGTGGGGAGAGTGTTGGCCACACAGGCCCAGAAGGCAGAGAGACCTGGGTTCTAATCCTGCCACAGTCTAGCTGGTGACACATCCAGTAAGACTCTCCACCTTGCTGGGCCTCCTGTACTGTCACATGTCCAGTGGGAATAATAAGAAAAGCTACCCTTTATTGGACCACCTACGTTGAGCCAGGCTTCTGTGCATGAGTGTCACAGAGCTCTGGGAGGTCAGCACTGTCCTTATTCCCATTGTACAGATGAGGAAACTGAGGCTTGGAGAGGGAGAGCGGATGGTGAGACGGAATGACGGGGAGAATGAACGGATGGGGCACCAATATGACGCAGATGGGGTTGAACCTGGCCCTCCAAGCTCTGACCCTCTGGCATCACACATGTAGGTGAGGCTGGGGAGGCGGTGAAGGATGAACGTCGGGGCCTAGCTGGGTGAGGGGGCCGGGGCTTCTCTGAGCACAGGGGCGGGGCTGTGGCCTTGGGAGCTCAGGGCTCACTTCCTACTGTTGGGCCTTGACCTTGCCTGTGCTCGGAGTGCCGGCTCCTGGCCAGCTCCAAGGCTTGGCGGCCGGGCCTGAGGCCAGGTGGCTCCAGCACAGGCTCAGAGGCCGCCTGGGTGGGAAGCCAGTCCCCATGCCCTGGCTGTGTGGTCTCCCCTCTCTGGCCCTCAGTTCTCCCCATCAGTGAACAGAGCAGGACAACAGCGCCCTCCGAGGACCGGGTGACATGTGGCTGACCAAGAGCAAGCTCTGCAAGTGCCCGGTGGACAGCAGTAACATTGTGGTGATGCCTTATGCCAGCCTCACCCCCCTGGACCTGCTGTGACCCAGAGGGACTCACCATGCTCAGAGATCCGGGCGTGGGGCGGTCCAACGGGGGCTGGAGGTCCGGGGGGCCCAGGGGGCCCTGGGGGGCCTGGTGGTCCCCTTTCTCCAGGGATGCCCACAGCTCCGTCCTGGCCAGGGTTCCCTGGGGGACCCTGTGGACCTGCAACGGAACCAGGGGGATGGGAGGGTATGCAGGAGGCAGAGAGGCCCTGGGTGGCTGCCAGGGGCAGGACAAGGCAGCCTGGGGCAGCGGGGATGAGGGCTCTGGAGGCCACAGGCCAGGGCAATTCCTGGCTCTGACTTCCCTGGCCCTTTATTAGGAGAGAAAACACAGCCCTCCCTTGGGCGTTAGGACAATGGACACTTGGTGCTCAGTAAATACTGACTTCCGGAATGTTTCCAGAATGTTCTCTTCTCTCCCTTGTTGCATGTGCTGTTCCCACTTTCAGTCCTCCCTCTGCTATTCCTGGTGTACCCTCGGGTCATCCTTTAGGCCTCACCTGAGATGTCACTCCTACCAGGAAACCCTCCCCGCCCCCACCCCATCCAGGCTGGGTCTGGGATCCCTTCCTTGGGGCTCGCTTACCTGCAATGTCCCCATCACAACCCTGCTCACCTGGGTGGGCACTGCTGTTTCTCTTCCGCCCAGGTTTACCCTTCCCCATCGGGGTGCTCCAGGAGGGCAGGGACTGGTCGGACCCCCCTCCTTCTCTCCCCAGTGCCCGGCTCAGAGCCTGCTGGGAGTAGCTTCCCAGAGAACACGGGCCACGTGAATACAAAAGAGGGTTTCGAGGAGCCCAGGCCTGAGTGGGGCACCCTTGGACGGTAGTGAGTGAGACAAGCGAGTGGCAGGGGCCCGGGTCACCCCTGGCTATGTCAGGGTTGGGGAGGAAGATCCCAGCCTGGGTCCACGGGTGGGGGTGGAAGGGGATGGGGGCTGGCCAGGAAAGTTAGGGGGGCAGTGCCGTGGACACTCACCTGGGGGGCCTCTCATTCCTGTTGGGCCCCGGCTGCCAATGTCTCCCTTGGGGCCAATGGGCCCAGGAAGTCCCCGGGCACCAACTCGGTCTGGGGGAGAAATCTCATCAGCTCTGGACTCCTCCCGCCCCGACCCCGGCCCCCCAGCCAGCACTTACCATCTCGAGGGAGCAGCGGGGCCCTCGGGGTTTCTCTGACTCCGGGCAGCCCTGGAGTTGGGGGGCAGGGGACCTGGGTCATCCAGAGTCCCTGCCCTTAGTGCCACCAGAGGAGGTGGGGGCAGGGTCTGCTGGGCTTCCCAGGACCCCAGAGAGATCAGGGACGACCCCGGCCCACAGGGGGAGGAGCTGGGAGCCGGCAGAGTAGAGACTGGCATCTCATTCCCACGAGGGAGTGTGCTCCCCACCGACCTACTCACCTCGGAGGTCTCCATCTCCAGGGCTGCCCTGGGCAGCTGGGGAGCCCCAGAGAGGGGCGGGGTCCTCGGGGGCAGCTGGGGTTGGGGGCACCTCCTGCTGGGTGACAGTCAGCACAGCCACCTGTGGAGAAAGAGGGAGAGGAAGAGAGATGAATGGGGTGGGAACCAGGGCCTCACCAGGGACAGGCCAGCTGATGGGCTGCAGGCTGGGGCGTGCAGGAGGCAGCTAATCAATGATTCTCATCATTGATGTTTCTCTCTCTCTCTCTCTCTCTCTCTCTCTCTCTCTCTCTCTCTCTCTCTCTCTCTCTCTCTCTCTCTCTCTCTCTCTCTCTCTCTCTCTCCCCCTCTCCCTCTCCCTCTCCCTTCTCCTCTGGAATCAATTGAAAATATGTATCTAAAAAAATGGAGGAGGTGTTCACAGCTGTCCAGTATTCCACAGCAGCTTACTCCCTCATAATGCAACCAACCCCTTCTGTTCTCTGGTTTTTAAATTTCCTCGTGAACAGTGAACACTGGTAAACATCGTCACCTCTAATCTCCTTAAGATAAACTCCCAGAGGAAGGAATAACGGAGGAGAGGGTGTGCAGGCAGAGTGTATGCCTCTATAAGATCTGGGAGAAAGATGCTTACATGTGGACGGCTCCTCTCTCCAGGGGCACAGGCGTGACTGCGAATGGTGTTTGGGCAGGTTTATCACGGTGCTGAGTTTTTTATGTTTCTGAAAACACGAGGGTCTTACTTTTTAATTGTTCAAACCTTTTTGAAAGAATGTTTGAGATGTGCAAGAGATGATCTGCTTTTGAAACTGGGCGATGGCGGATAAAGGATGAAGGTGATGGGGCAAGGAGGAGCCTCGCCATGAACCCTAGGGGTGTCTACAAATATCTGGCTGGGATGGGAATGGGGGTGCAAGTGGGGGGAGCTTCGTGGCACTCCTGGAAGAAGAGCAGGCTTCCCGGGCAGGGGCACGATGGGAGAGGGCAAGAGAGCTGGCTGGGACAGACGGGAGGGTGGGGGGTGGCCGGCAGGGAAGCTGCCTGCCCATGGATGCTGTGAGCATGGGGTGCAGAGAGGGGGTGGGAGGCTGGGGACGAGGGGACAGCTGCTCACCCACCTTGGCCTCCAGCACCTTTAGCCGCTCTGCCAGGTCCGACACCTTGCTGCAGTTGACACAACCTGGAGGCAGGATGGAGGAAGCGAACGGACACCTGATGACCCCCACCCAGGAGGCAGGCCAGCCCAGGGGAGACACTGCAGGAATGGCCTGTTTAAGGGGGATCATGCCCTGCAGGCTTCTCCCAAAGCAGGACCAGGGAGCCAACTCCTGCAGCCTTGGCATCCAAAACGACTCCTTTCCGGGAAGCCGGGCAGGAAATCCTGTGGCTTCACCTGGGCGGGGCTGCCTGGGCTTGCTGGACACATTAGCGTCTGGAATGGGCTGGCCTCAGGTGCCACCCCTGACCCTCCCTCCAGAACCACTGTCTGGCGCCTGCAGCCCCCTCGGCGATACCCCTTCACTATTCATGACAGTTCTGGCTGGTTACTGAGCCTCCTGGTGGCCGGGCACTGTTGATCCTGTGCTTTAGGACTAGGGTGACCCCCGTTCACACCTGAGGACACAGAGCTCAAAGCGAGGGGGGACGAGTGTGTAACAGGCCCAGAGGCTCAGCGCTGCCCCTTCCTGGCAGTGGGGCCTCTGGCAGGGCACGCCCTCTCTCTGACCCTCAGCTTCCTCCTAAGATGGGGACAGTGATGCCTTCCTGGGGGACAGGGACACGACTCTGAGGTTTAAACAGGTTGCCATGGGAAGCACCTGGCCCGGTGCCTCTCACAGTGCAGAGGCTCAGGGAAGCTTAGTTTAAATAAAAAGACAATAAAATATATTAAAAATAAAATAAAAATAAATAAAAAGAGGAGCCAGCCGGCGGCGTGGCTCTGTGAATGAACGTCGCTAAGAACCAGGAGATCACGGTTCAATTCCCGGTCAGGGCACATGCCCGGGCTGCGGGTTCCATCCCCAGTGTGGGGCCTGCAGGAGGCAGCTGATCCATGATTCTCTCTCATCATTGATGTTTCTCTCTCTCCCTTCCTCTCTGAAATCAATAAAAAAAAGTACACATGGCTATGAAAAGAGGAAACTGGGTGTGTGGACCTATGTCTGCAAGAGTTTGGGGTCACGGTCTCGGGGTGGCTGGGCCCAGGTCAGACTCTCCTCGGGGGCCTTCCTCTCCCCCTCAAGGTGTTTTTTGCAGCCCGGGGCAGGCAAGGGCAGGGCGCTCTTCTGACCACACAGCTGGACCAAGATGGCTTTTCGGGCCGTCACCACACTGCCGGGGCCCCTGCCAGGCCTCCCTTAGCCCAGGGGCACCCCACGCAGCTGCCCCAGGACCCACCTGAGAAGGCTGTGGGCCGGAGCATCATCCGCCGCATGGCGCTGCCTGACCACCTGGGCTCCACGAAGCCAGAGGAGCCTGCAACTGAGGGACAAGCAGGGATGAGAGTCCTGCTGGCCCGGCCATCCCTGTTTGGTCAGAGCCCCTGCCCCACCTGCCCCTCGAGCCCCAGCACGGATCTCTACTCCCCTTAGTGCAGAGGTAGACAGAGGCCCAGAGAGGTGGGGCAGTTTACACCTGGGTCACACGAGTCCCTCCAGCTGCCAGCTTGATGGCACTGGGGAGAGGGGGCTGGCAATGGGTAGTTGCCATGGGAGAGGCTGGGAGCTCCCCAGTCACCCCAACAAGTTGCCTGTGTTAAAAGCTTAGCGGTAACAGATGCAAGGTTGGGTCCCAGTCCTGTCACTTGCTGACCTTGTATGACCTGTTCTCTCTGAAACTATTTTCCCATCTGTAAAATGGGGCCATAAGGCCACTCTATCTCCCAGGCTGGTGCGAGGGCCAAGGCCGGCGATGTGGACACAGGGCCCGCACATCAATGAATGGCAGCGGCGACACTGGCAGCGGCGACACTGCTGTCCACTCTCTCCCTGCCCCACTTGGTAAGAAGACACTGAAGGGAATCCAGACCCAGTTTTAAATGAAAAACAGAGGGAGACCGGCTGCCTGGGAGGGCCCGGGAGGCCCGTTCCCGGAGCCCACCCCTGTCACCACCCCCACCAGGAGCAGGCTGCCTGGCTGGTCTGGTTTTGGGGGGCCTGGTTTTCTCCACAGCTGGAGGGATGGGCTGGCCAAGTGGGGGCCGGCGGGAGGTGCAGCTGGAGGGGCTCTGGAGCCAGCAGGGCAACTGCTCCCCTCTGCCCCCCGGGCCTGCCTTTTAAGGCCGCGGAGTGTTGTCTGGGGGGAGACAAGATCCAAATAAGGCGCAGCCCTGGCAGCTCAGAGCCAGGCTGTGGGCTGGTGCAGAGTGAGAGGCTCCAGGAACTCAAACCAGACGGGTCCCTCCGGCCAGACCCCAGCAGGGAGGCTGCCAGACCCCGCTGGGTCCCACTACGGCCTGTGCTGAGGCTGGGCCTGGGTCGCCAGGATCCCCTCCCCAGGGACCTGTGATTTGCCCCGGTGCAGGGCGTAAAGCTCACCCAGGATGGAGGAAGGACGGGGGCAGGGAGTGGAGGCTCTGTGGGCAGGAGGGGGATGCCATGGCCAGCACTCAGTGTTTTACGTCGCCCAGCTCAATCCTACAAGGTAGGTCATAATCATAACAATAACAGCTCACACGGACTCAGCATTCACACTGGGCCTGGCCCATTCTAAGCACTTCACGTGGACAGTCTGAGCTCATTATCCTCAAAGCCCTGTGAGTGGGTGCCGGTCTCACCTCCACTTTACAGATGGGGAAACTGCAGCCAGGGGAGCCTGCCCTGTCGCCCTGGTGACGCAGTTCTATGGCCCCAAGGTCATGTCCCAGACCGCGGGGGGCAGTCACCATCAGGGGAAACGGCTGGGGAGCCCGCCCAAGCCTGGCTGTCAGAGGAAGGGAGGGCCCGGGATGAGCCAGCAATGTCCCATGCGTCCTCACCCCCACTCCCAGGCCCCAGCAGAGAGAGCAGTTTTCCGGAATTTCCAGGCCTGGGCTTCCCTTTCCTCAGCTCCCACCCTGTGGGTGGGGAGAGGCCGATTCTTCCCAGCCCATCAGTTATCACGCAGTGCCCACCTGGGCCCCTGCACCCTCTGCAGGGTTTTCACTGCTTCGTTTCACCCTCACCACATCCCTGGGAAGCAGACTCTCTTATCCTGACCGTGTCACAGGTGAGACCCTGAGGCTCAGGCAGGGGTGTCCGGGCTGCTGCAAGAGCAGCCTGGTACCCGTTAGCGAAGGCGCCCTGCCCTCGGAGCGGGTAGGAGACGGTGCTGCTTGAACGGCAGCCTCCCGCCCCCTGCACGGGCCCTTGCACAACCGCTTGCACAATGCTCGGGGAGTCCCCGGCCCAAGGCCACACAGCTGGTGTGTGGTGGCGCTGGCCTGGCCCAGGAAGCCCGGGACAACCCCGTCCCCCGGCTGGGGCCTGAAGGCCCTGCAGAGGGAGCCGGCAGCCGTCAGGGCTGGCCTGGCCCATCCCGTTGTGTACCCCTGCCTCACGGGTGCCAGAGCTCCCAGCCCTTAGCCTGGTGCCTGGATGCACGGCCTCCAGCTGCTGGACCCAAGGGTGTGGGTGCTGCCCCCACCTTGGCTCTGCCCTCCATGATGGCCCCACAGGCCTGAGAAGATCTGCCCTTGAGAGGGGAGCCAGGGACGGGGTGGCCTTCATCTGGGTCAGCCCTGCCTTGGCTCAGGCCCTCTAGGCCCCGGTGGCCCCCACACCCTGGGGATTTGCCCCTCCCCACCTCCAGCTCCCCCGGCCTCCTGGGCAGTAGCCCCTCCCGGCTGGCTCTCCTCCTGGCCCCTGGGTCCTGCCTCCCCCTCTTCCTCCCCTCTGTGAACCGTGGCTGCCGTGGGGTCCCTGGGAGGCGACGCCTGTCAGTCTTTCAGGAAGCACCTCTGGATGGTGACTTCCCTTGATGCGGTTGTCTCACACGCCGGTGTTTCTGGCATCAGGGCGCGTCCCGCAGCTCATGTTCACATTCCCACGCCGCCCTGGGGCCCGAACGCCTTTCCACCAGGTGCTCACGGGCCTGGCTCTCAGGCTGGTTCCAGGCCATTCTTGGAAACACAGCCCTTGGTGCCCGAAACCTTCCCCTCCTCGGGTTCAGCCAGGCAGCAGGGGTGGGAGTGGCCTGGACCACTTAGCAGAGGGGCAGGTGCCCATGTGGCCAGGCTGCCTCCTCTGTGCCCCTGGGGGTGCTCTGCCCCAGCCACCCTCATGGCATGCAGAGAAGTGGGGTGGGGCGAGCCTGGCACACACTCCACACGGGAGGCACCCGTCTGAGCCCTCCCATCCCCGAGGCCCTCTGGGGAGCCAGGCCGACCGGGGCTCCCATCCTGACGACCCCTCAGGAGCCGTGGGCCCACCGCCTTCCTGAGCCTGTTTCCTCCAGCAGGGAGGGCATGACCGTCCCGACCGTGCTGACCCACTGACCTCAGTGGCCCTTTGCTTCCATGACCTGTTCCCACAGCCCGTGGGCAGGTCTGGGTACTCCCATGTTCGAAAGAAAGGGTCAGGGTGGTGTGACTGCAGACACGAGCTACGCGGCATGCATGACGTTTCTCCAGGGGCCCTGAAAGCCTCCCCCGAGGCAGGCGGTCAACACCCGTGGGACAGCGGGCACCAGCTATATCTGAGCCAGGCCTCGCTGGCAGCTGTGGGGGGGGGCCACAGCGGGCACAGCACCAGACACTGCAGTGTCTGCGACTGAGCAACAGTGTACTGCTCCCTCCCAAGCACCTCGGGGAAGCATGAGGCCCGAACCTGGGGGCAGTCCTACCGTCCTCGCAGCTGGGCCCCGAGTGCCCGGGGCAGCACCTCCACTCCCGGGCGGTCACTGTCTTGTACATCACCTTGTATGTGGGTCTCACCACGGTTCTGTAGCTGAAAGAATGCCGACAGGGCCCTCGGTGTTTCTCCACTGTCTGGCCCCCAGGGTCTTCTGTCCCCACCCTCCATCCAGGCCCCATTGGAGCCTCTCTCCTGCGTTCTAGGATTCAACCCTTCCATTCCTTCCCAACCGTCCAGCCTTGGGGATCTGGATACCAACTGGACAGACAGCCCCTGCACGTGGAGCCGCCTGTCCCTAGCAGTGAAGGCTCCCTGAGTGAAGGCGTGTGGGTGAATGGTGGAACCCCTCCTCCAGGAAGCCCTCCAGGGCGCCTCACGAACACAAAGGGAGGTACTGAGAATGGGCATAGGGCTCCCTTTGCTTTACCCACCCTGGGGCCCCAGCCTTCCCCTGCACACCCACTGCACTCCCACTGCACTCCCACCACCAGGCCTCTGCCCCATGCTGTGCCTCCACCTGGGATGCCATCCGCTCGGTCTCACTCACCTGTTGCCCGGGCAGCTCATGGGCCAGGGGCAGTTCTGCAGCACTCGCTGAAGGTACGTGCCGTTCTGCACGTGGCATGAGATGGTGCGGGTCACCACGTACGAGCACCAGTTCCTGAAACAGACCCACGGAGAGGACGCTCGGTGCCACGCGCAGCCAGGCCCCTGCCCAGGACCCCCGAGTTCTCAGCGCCCTGTGGGCCCCTGTGGGAGTCTGTGCTGCTGTGGCTGAGGAGTGGATCCCACAGCCCTAGAGGGGTGGCCGTGCTGGGGGCTCTTGGGGACAAGATGGGAGCAGGCGTCTTTGAAGGGCCTCTCCCTTCTCGGCATCTCTTCTCTCTAACCCTGACCCGTCCAGGCCCCCAGTGCTTCCTGCCTCCTGCCTCCTGCCTGGATGACAGCAGCGGCCCCTCCATCCTGCCCTTCAGTCTCCCCCCAGAGGGAGTATCATAAAATGGAAACCTGGGCTGGCCTACCCCCACCCTCAGCACTCTATGCCTCCTGTGCCCTTGTCTCCTTAGATCCCTCACCTCCAGGCCTTTGCTCACGCTGGGCCCACTGCCCCAGCTCCCTCCCCCCACCTCCCACCTTCCCAGCTGCTGTGCTGTCACCTCCCCCTGTCCTTTCCCACCTCCACCTCCATCTGAGCAGAACGGATGGTTCCCTGCCCTGCAGCCCTTGGTAGCTTGTCACGCCGAGTTAAGCTGGTGATTCACCTCTGCCCGCTCCTCCCTGGCATGGGAGAGGAGAGGCCCCGTCTCCCTTATCCTTGTGCCCCCGCTGCGTGCCAGGCGGGATGTACACCGTCCCAGGCATGGAGAAATGACTTCTCCAGAGGCTAACTCATCATCCTATTGCACTGCATATATTGAGCACCTTCTGTATGCTAAGGGTATTGACATCCTTTTCCCACAGTGATCCAGGAAGGCACCCCTCCCCCCATTATACAGAGGGGTACCCTTGAGGCTCGGGGAGGAGGGAAAACTGTCCATGTCCCAGAGCCGGTGCAGGGTGGAGCGGATTTGAAGCCAGGAATCTGGACGGCCCAGCTTGGCCCTAACTCCATCTTCAAGGCCTCAGTTCCTGTCTCCTCTCTGGCTCCTGAGCCACGGTCCACGGCTCTGTGAAGGCCCAGCCTGGGAACCTGCTGACCCCGGGCTTCGGGTCACAAAGGAAAGTCTGGTGGGGGGTGTGTGTGTGTGTGGGGGGGCTCAGGCTGAGAAGGGTCACTGAAACGGTCCCTCCCTTCCCAGCCCCGGCAAAATCCCAGGGTCCCTGACCCCGTGCAGGGCTAGGGCCACTGAGCGCGGGGAATGTCCCAGCCACGGCAGAGGTGCCCGCCCCACTGAAATCCACCCCTAACCGCTGCCCCGCCCCCACCCAGGCCCACCTGGAGGAGAGAGGCCTCGGCCAGGGCCAGGCTACTACCCTGGGGAAGTCCCTTCACCGTCTGTGTCACTTGGAATCAGTCCAGGAGGAGGGAACAGCTTAGCCGAAGGCATGGAGGTGGGAGAGCAGGGAGAAGGGGCGGCAGGAGCCCAGCAGAGCCATGGCCAGCCACTCCCGGGAGGGGGCCGGGCGCTGGCCGCAGTGCACACCTGGGAGCAGCCTGAACAGGACCATGAGACACGGCTGCGGTGGGAGAGCCTGAGGCCTCGTGTACAGACCACGAGGCCTGTGCAGACCGGCAGGGGAAGACTGCACTTCTATGCACCGAGAAGGGAAGGGAAAGCAAAACACTATTTACCCACGGACGCACAGGAATGGCTTTGTGTGCATCAAGTTAGGCCAAGCCACACGCCCCCATCAAACGGCCACTTCTGGGGGCACAGAGGGGCTTTCCCTGGGTCCCCTCTCCTGTGCTCACAGCAGCCACACGCCCGAGAATAAGTCCCGCTTTACAGGTGGGAAGACTGAGGCTCCAGGGTCTGGGACGTGCCCTAGGCACCCGTGATGAGTGACACATCATGGTTGGAACTCAGGTCTGTCTGACTCCAGAGCTGGTGGTCTTAACATTACGCTGGAAATGTTTTTCCCAACGAGCAGATGGGGGTTTTATAAGTTTAAGAAGGTACCTTTCCAAAAGGTCCCCCACCCTTAGAGTCTTTGGGTCCCTAGAGCTGTGGCTTTAAACCTGTTGGGGTTGTGTTTGGGGGGAACATAAGCCCCTTTGGGAAAGTGATGTGAGGTGTGGATCCTCCCCAGAAAAATGCACGAAATGTGGGGTACACGTTCAGGGGAGCACAGGGGCTCTGGGCAGCCGGTGAAGTGCCCCAGGGGCCTTGTGAGCGAAGGAAGAAGGGAGAGAGGGAGCACCCTGGGCAGAAGACAGAGGCTCCAGACACAGGAGGGGGCCCTGGGCACAGAATGACCACCACATGCCAGTGGACAGACACGTATGCATCATACATACAGGCAAACACAGACGCACACATCCGTGCACACGCAGTGAGCACAAGACACATACGGACGCACATGCACACAGACGCACTCACATACGCTTATGTGCATACAACTCCCATGTACATACACACAGACCCACATAGGACACACATATACACACACTCGAGCACACAGTCAGACCAAAGCAAATCCTACCGAAAGGACTATCCTCTTTGCACGAGGGCCCACACCTGCAGAGACGGGGCTGTGCGCCCTCACACGTGGCCCTGGACCGCACCGGGGCAGATGGCCTGTGACTGCCCACCGCTGCCCAAGCTGCCCTCTGTGGGGAGCTACAGGAAACAATTTTTCCTTCTCCTTCCTTAATCAGGATCTCCCCCTGTGGGTTGCTGCATGTCCCCCCTGGGTTATTTCCATGTGTGGAGTTTGCTTGAATTCTCTGCTTAGGAGACATGGAGCTGGTGCCCCGCTAGCGAGACAGTTTAGAGAGAAGGGGACACTCGGGCCAGATGGGTGCAAGGTCAATCATTCATTCCCTCTCTCTGGTGCGTCACCAATAACCATGCCTCACCCCTCCCCGGCCTTGGAGACCCAGCCCCTCTGTCCCCGGGATGAGCCCGAGCTCCCTCCAGGGTCCCAGCCTGGCCCCGCTGCCCTCCAGCCCCTCCGTCCACTTTCTGGGCAGCAGAAGCTCTTTGTAAAGCACAGACCTGAGTTCCCACCCACCGTGCCTCCCACATCCCGCGAGCCCTGCCTGCTCCCTTCTCCCCACTCCCGCGGCCCCTCTTTGACCTTCCTGCCCGCCCTCCCCTCTGCTGCACCTCACATCTGTGTACACTCCTGCTCTCCGCAAACCCCTATTCATCACTGGGGTCTCAGTCCTGAGGACCCCAGCAGAGGTGGGCACCTCCAGGGGTCGCAGCAGCCCTGAGTGTCTGGGGGAAGGACATGCAGCTGGGATGGGGTTCAGGTGAGGGTGCGCAGAGAGGTTTGCTGAACGACTGAGCGTTGTGGCCCTGGGTCCCCAGAGATGTCTGCCGCCCCTGGAACCCCTGCATCCGTCCTGATGCCCCTTGGGCTTCCTTTCCTGGGGTGTGGTGGGTGATAAGCTGTCCCAGAACCTCCCGAGGCTGGGCCACCACCTGTGGGACGGGGCAAGGGTGAAGGGGCGGGAGGAGGCAGCCCTTCTCTCCTGGGCCTGGTACCCCAGAGGCCACTGAGGGAGAGAAAACAGGACAGACCAGCTCAGGCTGGAACCAGCTGTCCCCACTAACCACCACCCCCCAGCCCTCCACCCCCTTGCCATGAGGGGCCCAGGGGACTTTGTCTCGGCAGGGCCCAGGGCTATGATCCGGAACAGAGATAGGGGCTAATTGCAGGAGGCAGCCAAGCGGGCTGGGGGCCAAGGGCGGTTATGAAAAGGAGAGGAAAGAAAGGAGACGTACAGGGTGGGGGTGGGGTGACTGGAGCCAGAACCCCCTGCTGGAGGCGACGGCTCCAGTCCTAGCTCTGCTGATTCCTAACTCGGTGACCTTGGACAAGGCCCTGAGCCTCACCTTGCCCATCTGCAAATGGGGACAGCAGGTCCTCCTCCCGCCGTGCCAACAGCCCTTGGTGGTTCTTGTTCCTGGACTATGACACTGGCTCCCCAGCCCACAGCTGTGGCCCAGGGCCTTCCCTGGGTGTGCGGACACCAGCCCTGTACCTTCACCACGAAGTCCTCCCCGTGACTACAGGGTAGGGACGGCCAGGCTCTGCGTGTTACAGAGGGGGAAACCGAGGCTCCGAGAGAAAGCACCCACCCGGGTCACCCATGTGGGGGTGGAGCTGGGATCTGAGCTCTCTGGAGAAGGGCTGGGAAGAGAATTCCCTGCTCTCCTGGGTCCTAGGATGTGCCCACAGGAAGCCAGTACTGCAGGCAGAAGAGGCCTGGCCAGGACACGGAGGATGGCTTTAAGTCTAGGAGAGGGTTCGGGCTGGAAGAGACCCCAGAAGGGCAGGAAGCAGGCCCAGCAGGGATTGGGGGACGACAGGGGTAAGGGGTGAGCCAAGCCAGCTCTGCACAGCCCCAGGGCACCCTGGTTCTGGGGGATGGGGGGGTGTCTCGAAGTCTCACCGCATTCCTGGGGCTGGGGGCGGCCTCTTGGATGCCTTCCCGGGCCTCCCCCTCCCCAGGCACAAAGCCTCTTTTCTGCCTCTTGTCCCTCGGCTGCCAAGGGGTGCCTGGGGCGCCGGGCTAGGGGTGGAGGGAGGGCTGATGGGGCGAGACATCCCCATGCTGTCTCCAACGATGCTGGGCTGGGGCCACAAGGGGAAGTCCTGGCAGGGAGGCCTGCGGATTCCTCCAGCCAGGGGTCCCTTCCCCCACCTAAGGCTGGTGATCGCAGGAACCACTCTGCGTCAGGGCCCCGGCTGGTCCTTTGTCCATCCTGACAGCAGGCCTGGGAGCAGGGGACGAGGGGAGCAGAGAGGGGAATGGGGTGAGGAAGCTGCGAAGGAAAGCGAGAGCCGGGGACCTGCCTGAGGTCGCACAGGGAGTGGGGGAGAGAGCCAGGGCTGGGACCTCTCACGCCTCACCATGACCCACCCACCTTTCCCAAACCTGCCAGCTGACGACCTCTGCTGGGTCAAAGGGACCCGGGATATGGGAACTGAGGGCCTGGATTGAGGTGCCTCTCCTCCTCTCGAGGCCTCAGTCTGTGTCATGGAGCCACAGCAGTGCCCCCGGGGTGCTGTGATGCCCAGGCCACGGTGAGCCTTCTGTGAGCCGATAGGGCGACAGTCCCGACACCACCAGATACCTACCCGCAGCCACATCCTGCTCCTACCCAAACCCTGGAGCGGGGGGAGGTGAGGAACCCCGGTTGGGAGGCCTTGTCCTGGACTTAAGTCCCCTGGACCATCATCCTGATCCTGAGTCTCAGTCATCTTAGCACCTGGGACCCTGGGGGCTCACATCCCTGTGCTAGGCAGGCCATGTCCCCTCTCTGAGCCTGTTTCCTCTAAGAAACAGGGGCCACAAAAACCCTTGCCTCCTAAGGCGGTTGGGAAGGTTCTGGAAGCCATGGGTGCAGGTGAAATAGCCAGCCCAGGCCTGCGGTGGTCAGCCCGCAGAAGGTGGTGGCTGTGACAGCTGCCACCTGCCCACCCCTACCTCAGACAACGGCTCTTCTGGCCTCCGACGCCCCAGCCACCTCTCCTCTCCAGCCCTGCCCAGGTCACCTGCTCTTGCTAGCCTAGGGGAGGCATGCTGGCCCCCCTGACCGACCACTCATTGGGCAAGGAGAATTTCTGAAAAGAATTTAAAAAGTGAGGCCTTGGGGGTGGGGGCTGGGCAGGCATTTGAGTGCGATGAAAGGACCTGAAGAGGCCTGGCTACTCTGTATTGTTCGCTGAGCTGGCCCCTGAAGAGGGGACAGCAGCAGGGGTAGGGCTGCAGCCAGGACAGGGGCCAGGCAGGTTCAAACAGTGTCATCAGGGCCAGACAGACACAGATGTGAATCCCAGCTCTCCTATTAATGGCCCATGAGCCTACTCTAGGCCCTAGGACAGTGATGGCAAACCTATGAAACGCATGTCAGAGGTGACACACGAACTCATTTTTTTGGTTGATTTTTCTTTATTAAATGGCATTTAAATATATAAAATAAATATCAAAAACATAAGTCTTTGTTTTACTATGGTTGCAAAGATCAAAAAATTTCCATATGTGATACGGCACCAGAGTTAAGTTAGGGTTTTTCAAAATGCTGGCACGCCGAGCTCAAAGGTTTGCCATCACTGCCCTAGAAGATCATGTTGATTTTCTGGGACCTCAGTTTGCTCATCTGTGAAATGGGAACACGTGCTCCCAAGCTGCATCCAGTCCTTGAAGGATGAATGCGGACACTGCATGTGAAGGACCCTCTCACTGGAAGATGCCCCAGATACACCAGCAGAGAGAACGCCCCCAGCTCCGGAGAGGGCGGCAGGAAGACAGTACTTCCTCCCTATCTCTGCCCAAAATGCCAGGTCCCAGGGGGCCAACACTGACCCAGGGGCACTGAAACTCCACCCCAGTCTTCTTCCTCCCAGTGAATAAATAGCCGGGACTAAAAACAGCCAGGAGCAAGGAAACAGGAGGCGAGTCCCCAAAGTGTCAGCTGGGGGCCGTCCTGGGCTTTCCTATGTGCACGGCACGGCACGGGGTGAGGGGTGGAGGCTTGGGTTAGGGGAGTCCCGGGGCTTCTGCCCGTTGTCCCCCTTCCGCCTCCTCTGGGACTCCGGGGTGAAATGGGGGGGTGGGGGTTGGAGGAGGCTGCCAGGGCTGCCGGTTCCAGACACATG